TAAGCCTCTCAGCATTTGGCTTATATTTCGATAGTATCAAAATGTGAAAGACTAAATTTTTTTAAAAAGATGCGCCTTACAATTCTCTACAATCCTGCCTTTTTCAACTGGATCGATTGAGATTTGTTAGTTTATTACCGACTATGAAACAGATTGATCTAAAAACTACAACTTTCAAACAAGAAACTTGTAGTGGGCAGTTTCATGAGAAGTCAACCAAAAAAACGCAAAGTTTTCAAAAAAAAATTTTCTTTCATGTCAGAATTTTTGTAAAGCTTTTTTTGCTGATCATTTTGGTAAAAGAACTTCTTGAGCGTCATCGAGAAATGATGTTGTTATAGTCAAAATACTAAACAAGCTTGAAATATAGTTTTCCTGATAAGTAAACGTAAAAAGTAGATTAGCATATCTCAAAAGAACCATATTGTGGAGATATATGGCATAGTAGGTGTTGTAGAGGAAAGTTTCCTCTGCAAAATCCTATAGTCGGCTTCCCAGATACACTCGAATACTATGAATAAATCTCGATCAAACATTATATAGGCTATTCATCTTAAAAATAGAAAATGGAATGCTTTTTTATATGAATATCATATACAATTTTCTATCGAGATTTATTCATAGCATTCACGTGTATCGGAGAAATCGACTAAAGGGTTTTGAATACTATGCCACATTCCGCCATAATATAATATAGCCATTTTGAGATATGCTAATCCTACTAACAACTTCTTGTTTTAAAGTTGTAGTTTTTAGATCAATCTGTTTCATAGTCGGTAATAAGCTGACAAATCTCAAGCGAACCAGTTGAAAAAGGTAGGATTGTAGAGAATTGAAAGGTGCATCTTTTTAAAAAAAATTTAGTCTTTCATATTTTGATACTATCAAAATATAAGCCAAATACTGAGGCTTATTTATTATGCGCCACTCGTTAGAATCACTTGAAGCTTTTAAGATTTTTCTTTGTCTAATATTTTCAATATTTACTGAATATTTTGGCACGACCTAAGGTGCTCTAATTTAGACGCCGTGATATTGAAATCACCAACTGCTGACACAGTTTTGCCTTTACTCCATCTCTATCAAAATGATCTCACGAGTTCTCGATCTGATTGAGATCATATGACGTGACAGATTGTTTTAATACATTAATATTATTATCTTTCTAAAATTTCATTGAATTATTTTATGTATGAAGTAGGGCATTATACCTTCATATAAACCTAAATCTTGTTGTTCGTATTGCATGTATTTGCAACATACACAAGGAAAGCACCTTTGATCGTTTCTATACATGCACGGGCATACAATCTTTCATTGTGGGAGTGTAGGATCCCACACCGTTTATTGATAAGGAAAAGTAAGACTTAGAGAAGTCTAAATAAGAGATTTGCAATTTTCAAAACGAAGAGTTTATTGACACGCGTTTTGGCCTATTTAGCCTTTTTCAAAATATCTCAAAAAATTAAACAAATTATTTAAAGAATATGAATAAAAGGTATCAGACAACAAAGAGAAAACTAAATTAAGTAAAAATAGAAAGTTACGTAGTGCACAAGTAATGATGGTGAAAGGCAGACGATAGAATTACATTTAGAAAAGTGTCTATACGGCTGAATGGTAGATTATTAAGTGACTTGTATATAATTTTTATGTTGTACATAAGCGTTATGAAAAAGAAAAATATTAACATAAAAGTAAATGAAATTGAAAAAGTCAGTTATGTATCGTATAGTCAAAGGAAAAATGAAGATAGAACGAAAAGAAAAACATTATGTATCGAAGAATGATTATATGGTTGAATATAAGATGAATCAGCATTCTATATATGTGTTTTCTATGTATCATGTATCAAGAGTGCTGATGATTCATCATCTATTAAAGATAGTGACAGTGTGAAGAGGATGAAGAGAATAGGGTGTAGGTTGGGTGTGGGATGTCGGTGTATTGGAGAAGAACATTCATACCCGTACCTATATCGACACGCACCCACGCTCGCACCCACACCCGCCTACACTCACGTAGTTTGACCGAAACTTTTATGAACAAGTTAGCCACATTCGATAATATCAAACGAATGAAATTCAATTACAAATTTAAAAAATCTATGGAGTTAGATGATCCGAATTTTGCTAAAATATTTAATGCAGAATGGAAACAGTTGAAAAGTAAAGATGATTATGAAGTATTAGTTTACTTTTACAAAAAATATATCAAAAAGGAACAAAATTCATTCGAATAATAATCAATTATTGCAAAATTATCTTTTTGTCACATTCTATTATTACTTTAATCGATCTCAAAGTGTTTACGAGACAAGTGACCAATACATTTATCAATGCATTTTATTTAAATAGCGAATAAATAAAGAAATTTTATGCTCTATGATTTTCGTCTGTCAGATAGAAACTTCAAGAAACTGACTAAAAACCTACAAGAAATACAACTAAAATCTACTTTTAAGTCCTTGGACAATAATATTCCAAAACTCGTTCTAGTACAATCTTTCAAAGTATTCTTCCTGAGGATTGATGCATTCGGCTAATTCAGTCATTAAAGCACTTTTGGAAGGCATCTTTGATGGGATTGTCAATTATTTGTTTTAATACCGAGAAAAATGACGAAACTATGCAGCTAAAAACGAGTAGTAAGTGTAGATTTCAAGTAGTATCCTGCCTTGGAAGAAGTTAAAACGTAGCTATAGAAGAAGCGCTTTTCTCTATGTGTAGCTACATAGAGACTCTGTTGTTCTTGGAGTTTCATTCTTTTGATACGAATATCATAAAAAAACAGTTGTGCTCTTATCAACGGGCAAGACAAGAGGTACACAAGGCAAAGCATATATTCACAATTTTTAACTTCATGCAACAAATCATTTTCGCATTAGACAAACACAATCATGTTGAGATCATACGAGTATTTTTGGACATGTGCAACGAAATAAGCATTTTTTTTTGGTTACTATTGATAGATTAACGTTCGATCGAAAGAATAATGTAATTCTAGAAACAAAAATCAGTGTTGAGCATCGATCATATTAACATACTTCACGAATTTATATCAAAGATTTCTTTTGAATTATAATGTTGATGTTCCTAATATTTGTTCATCAATCGATGACATATTCGAATAGAAATAATAATTCTCAATCGGTTTCAATTATCAATAATCCAAGATGAGAAATCTTCTTATGTGTTATATCGTTCTTCAGACCCCAAAGCATAGCGAACGAACATCGTTGTTTGTTGGAATAACAACGCAAATTGTATCTACCGTAATAGTAAATATGCTTGTCACGTTGGGTGCTCTCTCTCTCGACAAGAAAATCAACCTACTAAGATGATGTTGTTGAGCCTCTGCAAGCGCACGAGTATTGCTTCACACTCTCTCCAGTAAATATTGGATTTGAAGATTTTTTCTTAGAAAGCAAAAAAAAGAGAGAAATCGACAACAACAAAAGACATCCATTTTGTGGACTTAATGAAAACTGAAGACTTTGGAGCTAAAAACTAATTTAACTCAGATAAAGATTATATAACTGGACCATATTTTGATACTGATCCTGACAGATCTAGTTACAGTTATAGATAATTTGTGATAATCAAAAAGATTATAACTTTTAAAATGTGAGATAACCAAAAAGTTCATCGATCACCTGCATGACGATAGTTCGCATGTATGATCTCATATATTTAATTTAAAATAAATGATTTGACCGCTCGAAAACGTTTCTTATAGTCAGAACATAAAAATTCGATGCACTGGGTACTGTTTGATATAGCTGGATCTAGTCTCAATAAAATTATGTAGATTATTAAATACCTGTACGTGATATGATTACTGAGTACCTTTATCTTATAGTTTTCCAGCCAACGCTGTACCGATCCATGTAATACGAACGATAAATTACAGCTAATACTAAAAGCGGATTATGAATAATCGAATAAAAGATTTTACTTGAACCAGAAGATTAAGTACCTATTCTAAAAGAGAAATGAGAATTAATCTATCTTGCAGAGAGTTTTGCACTGATCGCGAATACCAATACACTAGTTGTTATCGTTGAAATTCTAAAAGAAACAGAAGAACTTATTTTGTGATTGTGATGCAAGCGGCAATTTCAATGCAAAATCAACCCTTTCAGAATTAATCGCAAAATATCACATGTTGTAAAGAATTTTTTATAATCATTCTGTGAAAAATGTTCTAGGTTTGATACAAAAATGGCAGAGATGGAATGCAGATACTGAAGTGATTAGATGTGTAAGTTTTAGGAAATGCAAAGGTATGGGAAAATATGAATGTGGATGAGAGTATGGGTGTGGGTATCAGTACTCATATCCTCTTCACGAACACAGATATCCACCCTCGATTTGTCTCAAGAGCAATCGATCAATCGATTCAAATTCAATATTGTTCTCTTAATGTCTATGAAGGTCGGAGGACGTCGATTTTGGGTGTGGGTGCGAGTCCAGATCTAGATCTTGTTTCAACTCACCTACCCGCATCCGCACCCACCCCACCATCACCCATATTAAATTGGTGCGACAGGTTATCAACAATGATCCACACTCAACTTATGAGGATATTATAGCTGAGACTTCTCTCTCTTACGGTACAAAAGAACGAATTATCTACAGCTGTCTCAAGATGAAAAAAGTGACATTTCGTTGGATACCCCATCAACTGAATGATGAACAAAAGAAAGAATGAGTTAAACTTTGTTTCGTGGTGGTTCATGGCGCTTATGTGACATTATAACAGGTGATGAGACGTGGATTTATCATAGGCAGATTCATCGCAAGTCAACAAATACAAGCTGGGTTGGCGAAGGTGAATCATCAACTACTATCGTTGGTCGAAGTAAATTTGAACCAAAAAAGTTATTTTCTATATTCTTTAAATCCAATAGTCTTGTTCTTATACATGCTGTTGATGAAGACAAGACTATAGATCACAAATACTATATTGAAAATTGCCTGAAGCCTGTTGTCAAGGAAATGTGGAAACAAAGAAAGTCAGCAGGTACCAAAGGTATAAAATTGCTTCACGACAATGCTCGACCCCATACTCATTCCAATGTTATTAATTATTTAACAGAAGAAGGTATTATTATAATGCCGCATCCACCATATTCACCTGACCTTGCACCATGTGATTATTGGCTAAATGATTATATCAGGCATCATTTAACTGACCAAGCAAATGAAAAGTAATTGGCTCGTGCGATATCCAAGATGGTGAAAAATATTTCAGAAGAAGAATTAAAAAAAACTTTTGACAAAATATAGGAAAGGATGGAACTTTATATAAATAATCATGGTAACTATTTTGAACATTTAATAATATAAAACTCGAACTTTCTCTTTCTCTTTATATTTTTTTTAACAATCTCAAAACTTTTGGTTACACCTAAGTATTATCACAAATCTGATGGTAAAATTAAATAAGACAATCGTTTATCTAGCTCAATAGAAAAGACTTGGTACTCGTAATAGCGGTAGGAAAATACAGATTTTATGAAGGATGATCATAATCTGTTCTGAATTCCAAAGCTGCAACTTTAATTATTTCGAATATTTGCAATTCTAGTTGACACTACTTAGGTCTTTGTATATGTATATGTATCAACATTTTTCGGCATTAAATAGCTGGTATCATTTCAAGAAAATTCTTGTCTGATTGATTTTGAATTTGCGTGTACTTTCCCATTGGCTGTATACCAGGCTACACTACTGATCACGTCATATTCGAGAAGCAAAAATGAAAAAACCATGTATGCATAAACATTGTTATCATTTACTCAGTTAAAGTAGACCATAACGACTTGCAAAAGAAACAGATACAATATAATGAAAGATTCTATAAATTGAAATATATAATTAGCTGATATACGTACCAAGAAACGTACACAAGAAAAACAAAACTGTATGAATTGCACAGAAAAATATCTTATAGTCATTACAATGCAAAACACCATGAAAAAGTTTCGTTGTTTTTTTTTCTCTTTTCCTTTCTTGCCTAAATGTATATTTCTTGTTGTAATGCAGATAGAAAATTTCCAAGCGATCAATGCTTTTTGCCTATATAAATTACTGTTTATCTTTTGACACAAAGTTTGTATATATGCCGTATGATAGAATTTGATATTTTTTTAATTCCTATTCTTTCTCTTGTCCTTTTGTGACAATAATTGTCTAGTATGAATGTGAAAGATGCATAAATAATTTTACAAAGATTTTTGTCGAGATTTTGATTGATAGCTTTTACTAGTGGTTGTTTCCATTGGCAATAGAAGCAGCAAAATGAATATTGAACTTTGAAATAAAAACGTATTATAATGTCAAAATTTATTTCAACTTATCCATGGTATCTTTTATTTCATATGTTTCAGGTTAAAAACTAATGTTCATAACTTGGGATCAAATTTTAAAAACTTCTCTTTTTGACTACACAATATCTCAAACTCACATTCTTGTTCAGTCCAGGGTTTTTGCATTGTGTTCTTTGCAAATACGTATAATACTTTTTCTAATGAAAATTTTAGATTAATTATTTCCTTGATCAATTCATTTCGTTTAAAGACATTTAATAATTATGAGTTCCGAAATTGAAGTTTTTAACAATTTATTTTAATTTCAAAAGCATGATTTCATGTTTTACTTTACTAAAATAATAATGAGAAGGTGCAATAATTCATTCCATTTTCAACAAAAGTTCTTTCAATTGATTACATAAATCAAATCGAATGCTTAATGTTACAAACATATTTGTGAAAAAATAATACTGTTCTATGCGAAAATCTTAATGAACAATATTTACGAAGATAGTACAAACTCTGGGTGACCGCTCACTTCGTCGCACGACACTTCGTCGCGTTCACTTCGTCGCAATCACTTCGTCGCACGATCACTTCGTCGCACGACACTTCGTCGCATTCACT